ACGTACGTACGTACGTACGTACGTACGTACGTACTACGTACTACGTACGTACGTACGTACGTACTACTACTACTACTACTACTACTACTACTACTACTACTACTACTACTACTACTACTACTACTACTACTACTACTACTACTACTACTACTACTACTACTACTACTACTACTACTACTAACTACTACTACTAACTAACTAACTAACTAACTAACTACTACTACTACTACTACTCTCTCTCTCTCTCTCTCTCTCTCTCTCTCTCTCTCTCTCTCTCTCTCTCTCTCTCTCTCTCTCTCTCTCGTGAATCTCTATTTCTCCATGTCTTCTTAAGTAAATCTCCCTAAAATCTCTACCAAATAATATCTCCCTAGATTTAGGAAATAACCAACTTGGCTTCTCCTTATCCTCACGCACTACCTCCTCCGATATCTCTAACCATATGATAAGCTTTCCAAAAACAAAACAAGTAACCTAAAACTCTAAATTACATAAACTTTATACCCCTTAAATCTCTACAACAAATAAATACAAAAATAACCATAAAGAAAATAAAATCTCAAATAACAAATTTTCTAAAATTAAAAATATATATATATAAAACCATCCACAATCATCCAATTATTCAAAGCTCAGCTACCTAGTGCTCAGATCTCCGCTACCTAGTGCTCAGATCTCCGCTACCAAGTACACAATATTGGCAAGACAGGAATTCAAATAACATAAAAGGAACCGTAGTTCCATCTATATATAAAACCATCCACAATCATCCAATTATTCAAAGCTCAGCTACCTAGTGCTCAGATCTCCGCTACCTAGTGCTCAGATCTCCGCTACCAAGTACACAATATTGGCAAGACAGGAATTCAAATAACATAAAAGGAACCGTAGTTCCATCAATTACACATGGGAAACATAGCTACAGCACAAGTGAAAATTTTGGATATTTGGGAAGCATCTGACCAAATATACATGCTCCATACCTATATTGCACATAAACATCAAAATGGATGAGTGTCAAGTTAAGATGTTGACAATTGCAATAGTATATCCCAACGACACATCCCATTGCTGAAACATAAAAAAATAAAAATTAAAAATTAAAAAAAAAAAGTTCGAGATTTGAATTAATGAATTCTTTCAGCTTGTTTGAAACACAAATTTGTGAAACAAGTTTCAAACGCATATCACCCTTACAAGAATAAATTTTGAATTTGATATAAGGAAAAATATTTTGCAAAATTGCAAACAAGGTTTTTGCAGTTTGGAATTGTAACTGAATTCTTGATCCAAATATAGATAGAAAAAAGTCAAACATTACGTAAAGTATACATTCCAATTTCCAATTGATTTTGATTTAAAACTAGTCATATTACAGGCCAATATAGTCAATTTAATGCATATGATCATTGACTCATCAATGGTGCGATCAACACCTCTGGACTCAATTATCAGCAATGCACAATTACACATATATAGTAAAGTCGGTTTCAGTGTAAAATAGACACATTTTCCTTTGTTTCTATTTTCTCTTGAACTTCAAAGCTCATTGTATTGGTCCTAGCACATGGCAAGCCGATAGCTCTCTCATATTTTCGCAATCTCTACCTGAACTCAAACTCCAAATAGAAAAGACACCAACATATTTCAAAATTCAATTAATGGTATCATCAGATCTGAAACACTCTTATAGTATGTATCACAAAAAGCTTCTGTGGAAAAGCTACATCAACCCATTATATAGCCCCATAAAATTCTTGACAGATTTAGCAGTATATTATGACATCTGTGTTTAAATGTTTTCTTAAGAACATAGCAATTCATGTACCTGGGTATTTGACCTGTAGGGTGTTATATCAATCAGCGCATGAACCACAAATAAAATAATAACCTAGGATGGAAAATAGGAGTTCAATGTAACCATCATTCTGAAGTGAAAGCATGTTTTGGGTAGCATTCCAAAACTAGGTTCAATTTTTTTTCTCTATTGTGATGAAATATGATCATATTAATTATCCATAAATACTTAGTAAAGAACAATTTACCCATAAGAAAGCATGAGGTAAAAGATCCTAAATAACTCACTGAATTGAACCATGTGTAGCACAGGGATCACAAGTTCTTCAGGGAACTTTTGAGCTTCATTAGAGGCATGCTGCTCACTGACCAAGGCTTCTTCATAAGTTAGTCCTGATTTCCCTGTGATCTTACAGGTCCATACTCTTTGCCGATAAAGATTAATTCGCTTCAAATATGCACTGAGACACAAACTAAGGAAAAAACATAGTGGATAAAGATAACACACATATGCAGCAATGCATTCAATCGCACTTGGAGACATGCCCTGTAAATTTTAATATCAACATGTGTACGAATGCATGCACATGCATATGTATTTCATACATTTACATGTAAAAAACTTAGGTACATGCATGTGTAGATATGTGACGCCTTGTTGGCATGCAATAAGCATTAAGTGTAAAACTACTGAAGATATATGATCTAGAGGGCAAATTTAATCAAAATAAAATGTACAGCACAATATAAAGGATACTCATAGTTCATAAATATCTCGTTTGTGAAACGGATTATAAATATGCTATCATTGGGCATTAAACCTAGCGGTGGGGAGCGAAGAGGAAAGGGTGTTCGCTTGTACAGAGGCATGGCAAACACCCTATCAAAAATAAAGATACAGTAAAATGAATGATTCCAAATGGTAAACAAGTCAACAAAAAATTATAATACAATAATTCTCTTTTTCCTTTGCTGCACTGTAATACATGTTATTTCTGTATTCTGTGTACATTACAAGAATTCTTGTAATATTTGAAATGAATTTGCAATGATAATGCGGATATGTATATACCTGGTAATTTACTTCTTTTGTTGTGAGAAATCGTTTTTTACCTTCTTTCGAGGAGATTAAAGAGCCCGATGAACCTGGTGAGGAATGATCAAATATCTTGAACTGAGACAAAAAAAAAAGGAAAAAGTCAAGATATTGAGGCATTAAAAAAGGGAATTAAGTGGGAATTTCTGGAGTAAAAACCTCAGCAATAAAATTAATTTCGACCCACTTTCTCCACTTTAAAGTTGCAGCAACAGGCAAATATTCATCTGCAACAACGAGAAAACAGGGTAATCTAGCATAACAAAACACATAGGAAATAAGAGCAAGAGAGAGAGATTTATAATCGAAAAGAGAGACAGAGCCAATATTTTGGAAATATTCTCAAACCTGAATGTCGCATAAATCATTATCTGCAGATTTTCTGGCATTAGGGTTTCCACATTTGCTCGATGGTAATATAAGTATCTTACGGTGTAACGCAGGACCGCTAGAGCGAGAAAGCATTTAGAGAGAGAAAATTTTTCAGATATCACTTTGCCGCCAATTCGTTGTACGTGAAGTCCCATTATATAGGGGGGTAAGATGACCAAAATATCCCTGCACCTTGCGGGAAAATCATCGAGGGAAAACACACTGCACATAAGAGAAGTACAGTGTGCACACCCAACATCCACCGTCCATGGAATTTCTTGAGCGGCGGATTTCACTTATCTTCTAAAGACGCTCCCCATCGCCCAAAGACATGTATGGAGAGTGGATCCGTGGCACGAGTATCAGTTATTGTACTCGTGAGAATTACATTATTCGGGTTGCATACATCAACTGAAGCCGTGCTTGACACGATTGTAGCGTGGATGTGCCTTTACATTTTAGTATTTTACTATGTGTTTCTATGGGGCCAGCCATATTGTAGAAATGCGGGGCATGGCAATAAATATATTCTTTCAATATAATTTGATCTTAATTTTTAGCGTGTATATAGTTTATAACACGGAGATCATGAATGTAAAGAAAAAATAATAATAATAATTTGAAAGCTAAAAATTTTGAAAATTTATTTCAAAAAATACAAAAAAAATAGAAAAAACACATTCAAAGTAAATTTTTAAAGGGTGTAGTTGCCATACGAATGCATCCGTAACTGTAGAGTAGAGGTAAGGTGCACTTTCAAATTTTATCATGGTATACAATTTTGATGTAAAATGTTCTTGGGATTATCTCAAAATCTATTTTTATATCTAATTATAAAATTTTAAATTTCAAAAATGGTTAAAATAAAGTAGATCTATAAACATACGAAAATCTTGAAAATGGACGGTGTAGATAATATGTTGTAAAATGTACTATTTTTTAGACTTAAAATCTTTTTATTTTTCATGGTCAGACATATCGATGTCGAGATGATCAATCAAACAGTTTTTCAACATTAAAACTATCTTTTTGATGGATTTTTGAGGTGCATCCGTAGTTCTACTTTATAAGGTTGCATCCTTATATAAACTTTTTCCAATTTTAAAAGATACAACTAATTGTGGTTAAAAATGCAGTGAAAATTAATTTTTTAAAAAATGAGTTCCTAACTTAGGGTATTTTCAATTTTTTTCCAAAAAATATGAGAAAATATAAAAATAAATCCTCATGGCCAAAATATTTTCCAGTATTTGCCAAAATGATAAAAAACATAAATAAACATATTATAAACATATTATATATATATATTGTTTATACTTTTTAAAAAATGTTAAGATTCTCGACTTAGACCTCCAACTCAGGATCATAGTTAGCAAATTGGGGACTTTCAATAAATCGGCTTACCTCAAAATCGAGAAAAAGTAGTTTTCATTTTAAAAAGTCGAATGAAAAAATCGGATAAAAAATACAGATCGACAAAAATACTACATGTAAATATATCGCCAATACATATGACTAGGCGAAAAAATTCGAAGTCAACAAATCGGATAAATATATGAATAATTTGTATTATAGTTTTATATCATAGTAGCTCAATAATAATCCCAATAACATTAAATAGAATGGTAGCTTAACAATAATCCCAATAATGTTTTCGTGTACAAGTACACTATGATCCTTAGAGTATATAATTTTTGTTGTCCTTATTTATGTGAAATGAGTAATATAAAAAGCTCCAGCCCTCTCATACAATGTATTAAATACAATGTATTAAAGAAACTTAAAACTAGGCTTAGAAACTTAAAACAGGGTTCAGGCAAAGAAACCATTGATCTTTGTTGCTCTATATCGAGGGTGAGAAATAAACCTTAATCAGGATAGGGAAAAATTTGGATCATTGTTTTATAAAAAAAGATAAATCATCAACTCGGACGAGATTTGAAAAAGCAAAAAGAGATGGTGGATCTGATTTTAGAGATATTTTTAGAGAGAAAGAAACCCTAATCAATACTCTGCGTGTAGTGATTTGGGTATTTTTAGGCTAGGGCAAGATTTGTAAAGGCAATAAGAGATGGTGGAGTTGATTTTAGAGAGAGAAAAATAAGAAGTGATTTTTTTTTCTTTTGTAATATATACTTTTTTTTCTTAAAATATGACTATTTTCTTTTTTTTTATGACAAGTGCTTGATAGACCATTAAACCTAGAAGACCCAAAAGGGAATTAAACTGCCAATTGAGCTCCGTATTTACAATTATGCTCCGTATTTACAATTATGAGAATAACACCGTTTTCCCCATCCCTCCCATGAAAATAGAGCTCCGTGTTTACAATTATGATAATAACACCGTCTTCCCCATCCCTCCTATGAATATAGAGCTTTAGAACATCTAAGCTTCTTGTTTCTCATGAACGTTCTTTTTATAATTATTATCTCATTTGGATCAAAATTCAGAAAAAAATAATATGCATTTGTAGACGCTCTATGTATCAATCAGCCACATAAGTACTTCTCCCAAAGGTTAAAAAATAAGATCATTTTTTCACAGAGATTTTAGAGAGAGAAACATGGCCCTTTTTATTCTTTTCAGTTTTTCTATGTAAAATCAGGAAAAAGATTGTGGTTAAATGGGGGTTTTCTCTGTAAGTTGCATGTTTCAAAAGCTTGTGGTTTTAGAAAGAGAAACATGATTGTTTTTATTTTTTTGGATTTTTTATGTGAAATTAGTTAGAGAATGAACGTTTTTTTGAGCCCATTTTATTCGTTCTCTAAAAAAATACGTTTTTAAAGTTATTATAACAAAAAGAACGCGTTTTTTTAATGAACTTTTTTTAAAAAAAAGCCGTTGTTAACTTTTTTCAAAAAATCGCTGATTTGCTAACTATGCTCAAGATAACAAGGGATTGGCAAGGGCCCGAGCCCGAGTAACTCGCTTGAGAATAAACTACTCGACCGGCTTTTTGAACGCTAGTAATAGCATATTGTGAATTTGCTCATAACAAGGGATCGGCAAGGGCCCGAGCCCAAGTAACTCGCCTGAGAATAAACTACTCGACCGGCTTTTTGAACGCTAGTAATAGCATATTGGGAATTTGCTCCCTGAAGGTGAGTACGTAGCATAGTCAGCAAATCGATAATTAATCGCCGATTTTAAAAAAAAAAATCGGAGATTTTTTTAAAAACATTAAAAACGGCGTTTTTAAAAAAGGTTCATGAAAAAAACACGTTTTTTTTCATAATAACGTTAAAAAAGTACTTTTTTGGAGAACGAATAAAAGGGGCTAAAAAAACCGTTCATTTTTTTGCTGATTTCATAAAATAAAATAAAAAATAAAATAAAAAAAGCCATGTTTCTCTCTCTAGAACCACGAGCTTTTGAAACATGCAACTCTAGAGAAAACCTCCATTTAACTGCAAGCTTTTGAAACATGCGACTTACATAGAAAACCTCCATGTAACCACAATCTTTTTCTTCATTTTACAGATAAAAACTTAAAAGAATAAAAATGGCCATGTTTCTCTCTCTCGAATCTCTGTGAAAAAATGATATTATTTTTTAACCTTTGGGAGAAGTACTTATGTGGTTGGGAGAAGTACTTATGTGGCCGATTGATTCATGGAGCGCCTATGGATGCATATTATTTTATTTTGAATTTTGATCCCAATTAGATGATAATTATAAAAAAAGCGTTCAGGAGGGGCAGGAAGCTTGGGTGCTCTAAATCTCTATTTTCATGGGAGGGATGGGGAAGATGGTGTTGTTCTCATAATTGTAAACACGGAGCTTCAATTGGCAATTTAATTCCATGTAATGTTTGTTTGCATTGATCAAATGCTACTAGCCCTTTTGGGTCTACTAGGTTCAATGGTTTATCAAGCATCAGTCAAAGAAAAGATAAAATGGTTTTATTTTTAAAAACAAAAAATTACATATTACAAAAGAAAAAAAATCACCTCTTCTTTTTGTCTCTCTAAAATTAGCTCCACCTTCTCTTATTGCCTTTACAAATCTTGCCTTAGCCTAAAAAATACCCAAATCACTACAAACAGAGCATTGATTAGGGTTTATTTCTCTCTAAAATCAGACCCACCATCTCTTTTTGCATTTCCAAATCTTGTCGGAACTGATGATTTTTTTTTCTCTATAAAACAATTATCCAAAATCTGCCCTATCCTGGTTAAGGTTTATTTCTCACCCTCGATACAGAGCAATAAAGATCAATGGTTTCCCTGCCGAGCCCTGTTTTAAGTTTATTTAATACATTGTATGAGAGGGCAGGAGCTTTTGATATTACTCATTTCACATAAATGAGGACAGCAAAAATTATATACTCTAAGGATCACATTGTACTTGTACACGAAAACATTATTGGGATTATTGTTAAGCTACCATTCTATTTTATGTTATTGGGATTACTATTGAGCTAATATGGTAGAAAACTATAATGCAAATTATATATATATTTATCCGATTTTCTTACTCCGAATTTTTTAGCCTAGTCTGATGTATGGCGATATCTTGACATATAGTATTTTTGTCGATCTGTATTTTTTATCCGATTTTTTCATTCGACTTTTTAAAAAAAAAACGATTTTTTCTCGATTTTAAAGTAAGCCGATTTATTAAAAATCCTCGACTTGCTAACTATGGTATGTATCGGCTGTTAGAGATAATTTTTGGACCTAATAGACAAAAATCAAAGGGAATAAATTTAAATAGATCTCCTTATACCCCCCATAAAGAAATAACGTTTCAAGATTGAACACAAACTTTACAATTTTTTGAGGGCAAGATATAGGTGCTCAAAACCCAAAATATATTTTTTTTTTCATGAAAATAATTATCTGATAAATTTATTAAATAGATCCCATAATTTTGGATATAAAAAAAAAAAAAGGAAAAAGGCAGGAGGTTTAAGTGTACAGTATATGTTGCCGCAGGAACATAATATATATGGTCTTTATTTATTATACATGGTTGTTCATACTTTTGTGGGGTCCAGTATCCAAAATTACTAAGTAATGACATATATATTTTTTAAAAAAAATACCCTGAATTTTCGTATCAAGCGACCCGAACGACCCATTAGGTCGTTGATATTGGGCCTGAGTACCTA